TTGCCACCAATCACAACCTGGCTTACTTATGTAGGGCTCTCAGGTGAAATAAACTCCAAGGAAACAAAAAAACTGGGACCCTGGGCCAGAGTTCCAAAAACTGGGGCATCTAGGCCTCACTTTTGGCTTTTTAAAAACATTTAAATCTGTCTTATCGTTAGACTTGGATGAATCATTCCACTGCAACATACTGTTGGAAGGCTGAAATTTTTAGATGTGAAAAAAACCTTTCCCTGTTCCTTTCTGGGAATTCCTCTGTGACTATTCACTTCTCACTTCTGTTTTCTCACATCCCACACCCCTCCCACCACCAGGGTAAGAAAATGTCCGTGTGCACTGACAATGTCACTGACCTCCGGATTCCTGAGGGTGAGTCAGGGTTCTCCAAATCCATCTCAGCCTACGTCTGCCAGGCGGTCATCATCCCCCCAGAGGTGACAGGCTACAAGGCGGGGGTATCCTCGCAGCCTGTCAGCCTCGCCGACCGACTTATCGGTGAGTAACCCAGCCGCTCCAGCCTTGTTTGCATGAGTGTGTGTGCGCAAGACAGCAAGGCTGCCAGGCTGGGGGTAAAAGGCATCCTGCGAGGGACCCAGCCTTCTGACCCCTGTTTTCCATTCCGTCCTGTGGGGACGTCCCCTGGGGCCTCGGAGAAACATTTGTTTATCTTTTCATGAGCCACTCAGGGATGTGATGAGTTGAAGTGAGGTTGGATGTTGAAAGGTATTGAAAGAATTGAAGCGGTTGCTAGCTAAGAACTAATTAGGAGCTCTGATTTGGCAGGGGTCACAACAGATATGACGCTGGATGGAATCACCTCCCCAGCTGAACTTTTCCACCCGGAGTCCTTGGGAATACCGGACGTGATCTTCTTTTATAGGTGAAGATGAGAGGCCAGGCTAATGCAAGTGAAACCTAGGACTCCTCCACAGCTTTGCTACACCCCTCCCTCTCTAGCCACCTGCTGCTTATAAAGCCAGGACGTGTCTGAGGTCTAGCAGATCTGCCTAGTCATGATAGCTAAGGGCTGGGAGTTCCCCAAACCCAGCTTCTTGGGGACAGGTCTGCCCTGGAGGAAGAGAGAAATACTGGATGATCCGCAGTGAACTTCCCTTCCAGCCTAAGGAGCCTCCAGTGTATGCTGTGCCTTCCTAGACCATTGCGTTTCCTCCTTGACTAAATCTTGCTGGTCCCCACCCTCCATGTATAAACCAAGGCCTGTGCATTCCCTGTGTGTCAGGCTAGAGCCCAAGTACTGACTTCCCCAGCAAGGGAATCGTTCCATGTTGGTGGAATCGTTCCATGACATGGTGGATTGATCTGTTACCCCACGGGGGCTGGCTTTCTCTGCAGGTCCAATGATGTGACCCAATCCTGCAGTTCTGGGAGATCGACCACCATCCGTGTCAGATGCAGTCCACAGAAATCTGCCCCCGGAAGCCTGTCGCTGCCAAGGTAAGCCCTACGAAGGGAGGTAACAAAGGCCACAGTCTCCCTTCTTTGGACTCATTCTATCCCAAGAGCCAGAGATTACTGAAAAAGAGCAAAAGGGAAAAGAGTTTGAGATCCCTTAATGGGCTCTTAAGGGCACAGTCACGGCCTCAAATTCTCAATCTTCAGATGGCAGGAATGGGGCAGAAGGAAGAGTCAAAGCTGCCCCCATGTTCCCAGACCATTATAGTGGCAGCTGCGCAGCAGGGGGGACCGGCGGCTCAGGCTGAGAGCCAGCTTAGAATCAGCTCCTCTGTTTACTACCTATGTTATCATGGATATATTTCTTATTTTCTCTGGGCCTCTTTTTTCCTTATCTGTAAAATGGGCATCATAATAAGTTCCCTTAGGGAGTTGTTTTGAGGATTGAAGAAACCAATGAGACCTTAGGACTTTAGGATTGGTAAAGGTTTAGGGCTCCTAAGAATCTGCAACTAGGCTGGGCGTGGTGGCTCACGCCTGTAATCCTAGCACT